AAGATTTGGGAAACATTGAATTGTAATGCATAGCAGATTTATCAGAAAGATCGCAAAATTTAAAACAGGAATGATTCTGTATATGAAAATTTTCATTGAGAACCGTTCTACTATTGATTGGATGATTCGTCGCAATCAACTAAATCTAGACAACTGAACCGTAGACTATAAATAATATTTTAGAAAGTAAACATAAGCTCGTAAATGATTAGTTGTGAATCGTGTTTCAAAGAAGCTTGGTCGAACATATGATCACGAATACGAAAGTTTCCACGGGAAAGTCTTTCAAAAGGGTTGTCTAGAGATTATGTTCGATACGCAAAATGCTAAGAGCTTTATTCTTTAGGAACTCTGTTAAATAACTCTGAAAGGTACATTTGACACGAACTATCATCTCCACAGAAACAGTTGTATTGTCAGTTAATCAGATGAGACAAATTGGAGTCCATGGGAATCTTTCACTACTAAAGTTATCAATTTTACATGTAGCTTGCTTTTGGTAGACATCGACCACGATATAATGGTTTTAAGGTGTTAACAGTGCATATAGCATGGCTAAAGCTTCAAGTTTCAACAGATTGTTTATTTGCTTTCTTCATGGTTGGATAGAGATGCTTGAGTTGAAATAGAAATATACACGATTCATGTTTAAAAAGAGATTTAAAAGGTATAAAACAAAAAACCCATGTTAGCCTTAATTTCATATATAAGGAATATAGTCCTAAAAATCTTAGTATTTTTATGATGTGATTCGAAAAGTTTCATTTAATCATCAAGAACACAACACAAAATATTATGTTGAAGTTTTCAGTTTTGAATATCTTCCAAACACTGTAGACAAATGAAAACTTGAACATCTTGACTGATGCATGTCGAGACAACCTATATTTTATAAATGTTAACTTAACGGTGAGACCTGTAACTTTGTTTCGAATGCGTTTAAGCATTCTACTTTTCAATATAAACACGTGCTTTGATAGTGACTTTTTGTTGATGTAATGCCAATGTAAATAAAGAAACATCTATGCCTTATGAATCAAACATAAAATTCGATAAATACGAAAAATGAATGATGAATAATTTGCATGCAGAAACTAATTTGTCTTGACACTACCACTTTACATGAAAACAGATTTTTGGCAAAAGAAATAGCTAAAAGTCATATAAACTTTCTTTGGATTATTACGACCTAAATGGCAAAATCTTCTTCTATGTTTGAGGTTATACTGAAACTTCAAAATTATTAAAAACACTCATTTCTTTGGATGAAAATCATGAAATGTATAACAGAACAGTACTGCTGTCCACAGTGGAACTGCTTATCCTTCATTTAGTTAACGGTAGCTCAACTGATGTTAGTCAAATGCTGGAATATTGTTTAGATTCCAAAACTGATGACCTTTAGTTTTCAATTCATAACTGGATACTAGCCTAGTGGAGCTATAATCTTGTTAGACACATGTTTAATATTGCTAAAGTTCTTTGAAATGATGAGTCAGACAAATATCAATTGAAGTTTATCCTTTTTTGTTTGTAGTCATAACATCCTAAAAGTTTTATGTTTCATGAAAAAAGAGCTTAAAGAAATATTTTTGAAGTGATAAACCGATAAAATGTTTATCTTCATCCGCATGTAAATTATCTTAAGAAAATTATTTTTTTGTTTAGTTTTAAAAATGATCGTATAAGATTTAGGAATGTTCTGAGCTGCTACATATACTCTCGTTCAGAAGTATTTCCAATAGGATATGAACTTTGCAGAATGCCCAAGGTAGTTTTTATTTTAATGACGTAGTCATATTCGAGTTTTAATCACAGGATCAAGAAACATTTATGACTCTGTATAAAAGCGAGCATTTGTGAAAAGGAGCTATCATTATTAGACTTTCTCGTGATGAGATTGCAACATAAGCTTAGATTCAACCCTAATACTATGGAACGACTAACATTGTTATGTTAATCTATGATTCTTTTGTACAGAGTGATCAATGACTTCAACATTTTGAAGTTTTAAAGAAATGTGTCATAATTGAAGGTGTTAAGAAGAACAGTTTTACTACTTTTCTGCTTGCATGCGAGCGAAATCAAACACTTCAAATACACACAATCGTTCAAGAACATAACCAGGGAACCCAACTCACATTTGAGCCATATAGCGTCTTAATATGTTGTCATAAGCTGTTTGGAATCCTACTCCAAACGATTTAGATCACTTTTCCTCTTTACTATCTACATCGAGTGATTCACAATATAGATTTTTGTTCAAACTTGATACCTTCCTATTGTGTATAAAAAATGTCTATGGAAATGAATATGCTACATCTTTGAAATGGAATTTTAGTGAAGATGCCCACATTTGTATTCAAAATAAACAGAATAGTTTTGTCAGGATTTAATGAGTTAGTTCTCGTTATATGATTATGTGAGTTTTTATACGGAAGAAAGATATTGAAGTAGAGGATGAAATTTAGAATAAACATGATGAATGGTCTGAATCATAATCTCTCGTGCTAGATAAAAGAAGACCTTACATAAAGATGAAGTTATTCCGTGCAACAAGCAGGAAGATCATTAACCAAATAGTGGTAATGAAATTTAGAGTAACATTACTTTGTTAAAGTGGAAAAACATCCACATCTGGTTTAGGAAAAGTCTGTAGACAAATAGAATAATTTTTGTATTACATATAAACTGTTTAATAAATCTTAATCTGATTTTTCGAACTAAGAATACTATTAGGCCTTTACTGCCTACGGCGACATTCACGCAAATAGATCATATCTATTAAAGAAACTCATCTGCATTGTTTCAGAGAAATTCAAGGACAACAACTTTGTTATGCTCTGAATGTCGAAAGATAAGGATTGTCACAAAAAGTACTCGATTTCTATGAATGGACTATCAAAAAAAGCCGATAGAATTGATCTTATGATAGCTAGTATTGCACAATCGTGAGTTATATTTCTATTATAGGAATTAAAACGTCAATCCTAATACGTTAAACTTCGTAGTCTTCTTATTCTATATATTATATACATTTAACATTCAACATGAGAATACGAAATGTATTTTGATTCATTTCTTTGAATTGTTAAAAGCGTGTTGAGTAAGAAAATGAAACACTTAAAATTAAATCTCAATCATACAGAAGATTAGAAAATTGATTTTCGCGACGCTGAGGCATGTTGCCATACAGTAGATGCGTGCTGTTGGTCAAGATTCATTTTAGTAAATGATCATCGCCGGCCATAAAAAAAACATTTCTCTTTAAATAATCTTATGTTCTCGATGAGTAGTTTTCAAAAGAGAATGCAGCAGATGGTCAGAGGTGAAGATAAAGTGAAGTTCGGTGTACAATCGAGTGAATTTTGGTAACGAGCACTATTTATATTGAATGTTGACATAAATCTTACAATTAAATATCAAGTAGACTATTTCCGACCTAACATTTTCTTCAATTTAAATCAAGTGAACAAGTGATACGTTAAGGAAAATATCATTTAATGTCAGTTTTTTTCATCGAAACAAAATATTTTAACAAAGCAATGATCTTTTATCAAGTGCGACGAGACGAAAGTTGCCGAACAAATTCAGCCTGTAATAAGTTTTGCGACATTCATTTCTTTGATTTCTTAGTAGATGTACAGTATCTCAGAGAAAAAAATTGAATTTTCTTAAAGAAAAATCAATAACATGAATAATTAGGAGCTAGTTAAGGACTTGAATTCTTCTATTTTCGCTATGCTTTTGAAAGTTTAAAAAAAGAATGGTTATTACTGCAAAATATGTTTTCTGAATGAAAAATCGAAAGTTCGAATTTTCCAGAATCCGATATAAATTTAGATTTGTTGTTTTCAATCGTCTTCATTGAGACTGTAAAATTATACCCACACATAGAACTATGTGACTAGATAGTTGAAGGAAGACAAAACATAGTCACAGACTTATTTTATCTTATATGATTCTTTCTGCAGTGAAAGGACTAAGTCATACAGCAACACATATAAGAGAAGACTAAACAATTTTTCAAGCAGAGATTGATTAGAGCAAGCAGATTTTCTTAAATTACAGTGTTTTAAAATCTCTGGAAATCTTTAGAAATCTCTAGAAATCTCTGGAAATCTTTGAAAATCTTTAGAAATCTCTAGAAATCTTTAGAAATCTTTAGAAATCTTTGGAAATCTTTGGAAATCTTTGGAAATCTTTAGAAATCTTTGGAAATCTTTAGAAATCTTTGGAAATCTCTTGGAATCTTTCAGAATCTTGAAATCTTGAAATCTGCTTTTTCCCCCTTGCTTCTACGTCTCACTATATACTTTAGCCGCCTGAAGAATCTCGCAACTACCATACACACACTTTATCATGCATGAATTCTTTGCAGAAACATTGCCTTTCGCTTGGTTATGTAAGACACAAAAAAAGATGTACATACGATTTTATATTCGCCATGAGTTTGTGAATTTCGTATCTCTAAGACGTTCACATTACATCTCACTACATAACCACAGAGGTCATGTTTTTCTTCATTGAAACCTTGTCTTATAACTGAAATCAAGCAGACCCGTTTTTCATCCATTGAGGTTGACATTTGATCCAACCAATCCTGGTCGATTGGAAACCTTGTCAATGAACTTATTCGTCCATATGACGAAGTTGGAAAAAAAGCAATTTTTGTATCGAAATAATTTGTTTATCTAATCAGCAAATAGAATATATTATTAAATCATTTCAAACACATAAATGAATTATTATTCTCATTTGTCTATGGTTGTATTTTTAACACTTTTGTTCACGAGCAAAATAACCCTTTTTGCTTATAAATAATACTGTAAAAAGAAAAACAATTCTTTGAAATATTCTATTTGACATAATCTATAACATGAAAATGTAATGAACGTCTTCATCAGATAAGTTAATATTTTCTTTTTGTACATGAATAGTATTCAATATGTCTCTTATCTAATGTTTCCTTTTAAAATACTCGAATCTCATGTAGTAATCTATCCTAATAAATATAAAAACAAAATGTAATAGTTTAAAAGGAAAGAGACAAATAAGCATGCACTTTTCATATGATTATTAGTACGAATATCTATATCAACAACATTCCCAAGACTCATTTAGAGTGGAATAAAAGCTACCTGACAAGACTTTTAGCAAGATCAAAATGCGTTGTGACAGCTAAGTTTTTTTTACTATCATTCTACACTCAAACTCTGTCTCAAACGATACAATAAAAATATATTTAAAATTTCATTCAAGCTTTAGTAAAGAACATAATTTTTCTCTAGTTTTTCATCTCAACGAAATTATATTTCTTTTTTTCCTTTGTGATGAAAACTACAAGTAAAATGCATGGTTCACAAAATAGTGGAATTTTTAGCCAAGTTTTTATATCTGGCAATATTTTTCAATTTGTTTTATTGTTCATTCTTTGCTTCAATCAAACTATTCTCGTAACGAATCAGCTGAAGAAACAAAACTGGATTGGGTAGTGCTTGTTGTCGTTTGGTCAACAAATATTCATAGGCTTGTAAAAGGCTCCATTTTTTGCAATGCATCAAATAGGCAAGAATAATTGTTGAAGAGCGAGACACACCACGGTGACAATGTATAAAAGTTCGATAGCCTTGCTCATGGCATGTGTCAAGGAATGAATTCGTTGTATTAAACGATTCTAAAAGATCAGCAGAACGACCTTCTTTACTCCGAATATGAAGTACTTGACGTGATGACTCATGAAGTTTCTTATCAGTAACATTAACGATATGAGTAATTGCGAGTCGATTAAGTAGTACTGAATCATTTGCTTGTTCCCAAGTGCCTTGAAATAGCCATGAATCAAGTATTTCGGATGGTTGCCAATATGATCTTGTATCTTCACGTCGTTCATGTCTCAATTGGTAAACAGAATCTAGATAGGCCACTTCAGTATCCGTTGCTGCGTGTGTCTCACGAAGAAATTTTTCACGTGTCACTCGCGAGGAACACATTTTGAGTGAATGATGCTGAAGAGGAAAAATTAAAAGAAAAAGCGACTCGCATTTGTTTTTCTCTTTTAATGACTCATAACTTCAGTTGCTTGTGCAATGTATCTTATGCAATCTTATTCATTTATTTATTCTCAATTATTTTTCAATATTATGCAAAAGCGCAAAAAAACCCACGAGTCAGCAAAAATATCTTAATAATTGATGCATAAGCAAAATTAAAAGTTTAAAAAATGAGTACTAATGTAGCGAGATGTAAATATCAGTTTTTAGATTGACACCGATATCTTTGAACAGACAATCCATCAACAACCAGTCGAGAAAATATATAGTTTGGAAACGGAGGTAAAGATCAAGCAACTCTTACCATCGTTCGCAGCTAATCTTGTTTGATGGATAGAAACATGAAAGAAAAGAATAATCTCACTCTTCTTAGTAAAAATGTCCAACATAATGGAGAAAAACGCTTGATCTTTCGTTTTTTTCAGACCAACCGATCTTATTTCGGTCGCCAATGCTAGTTTTAGCTTTAGTTCAATAATCTCATTTGGTGAATATCTCCATCCAATACTCGAAATATCTGCAATCGATCAATCCAAATCGCGAATGGTGGTTTATTGTGTAGACTTAGGTTTGACTTATTAAACAAATTCGCAGTCATCCTATTCAAATTATCAGGCAAGAGAAGAGTTTCTCAAGCTATTCATTGCTTATTGGCCGCTCTTCCTCATTGAAAAAATGTTTTTTAAAAGTTTTGGGTACACCACGAGGACCAGAACGGTCATACCGAAGTGACGCAAAACTAAATAATAGGAAATGTTCCTAATAACTCCGTGATACGTTCTTCACTAAAAAGAATCGTAAAAACCGTGAGCAAAAATAATACATAGTGCATGATTCACAAGAGAATATATTTGAATGTATTCTCAGAGAATGAATTCAAAATCATTCAATCTGTTGGGAACGTTGAAGAATATCTCAAGTACTCCCGTTTCGATCGCGGAAAATGAGACTGTCTAAATTTTTCATTTTTAAGTTCTTTCTTACTAGGAGATGTATCATGTCATTTTCCACTTTTGTCAAATTTTCTAGAACAAGCAGGTTTTTTTTGGAGAAAGCAATTTGGTATGAGCATAAATCGATATGAAGGAGCCGTCTCTATATCTCTACTATGTTTCTATGTTATCGAAACAGATAAGTGATCGATCAGATGAACATTTGCTTGAGAAATATACATGTTATATTCTCACTTGTGATAACGAGACGGCTCCTCCACATCGATTTATGCTCATATCAAGTTGCTTTCTCTAAAGAAAACTACTTGTTCTTGCAAATTTGACAAAAACGAAAAATAATATGAGACGTCTACTAACAGAAAAGAGCCTAAAAATGAAAAAGTTAGACACTCTCATTTTGCAAGACCGAAATGGGGTGTGCGTGAAGAGAAGGCCTACACCTACATCTACACCCACAGTCAATATTCTTCTTCTATAGAGATTGATACAAATGAAAAGTACGATAGAAATTTTCTTTGACAAAACTCAAATGAGAATTGTATTATGCCAAAACATTTTGGAAACACGATGGCCAAAAAGCTAAAACGGGATTACCTTTTCAAGCTTGAAAATAATTAACT